CCGGCGTCCCCCCGCGGGGGCCGGGGGCAGGGGCCGGCGGCAGGGGCCGGCAACCCCGTCAGAGCCGCGCTGGGAGCGTAGGGCGGCTGGGAGAGGGAAACGTCTAGGCCCGGGCTGGGGCGGAGGGGCCCTGGGGGAGGAGGCGTACTTACCGGCGAGTGCGGCAGGGCTGGGGTTGGAGTGGGTGAAGAAGGAGCTAGGAGCCCTTTAGCGCTCCCCCCTTTGCCGCCGCCGGGGCCGTGCGTACACAGGGCTGCTCCTGGGCCTATGCTGATGGTAGCAGCTCGAGGCCTCCTTAGGAAGCGGCTCGCTCCTGTAGGGAATGCAACCTTCTGGAGGCTGGCAACCTTTTGTCGTTGTCTTACGGGGATCTCTCTTTAAGGGAGTGGAGCAGATCGCAAAGGGCCGTCTGGGTGCCTGGGTGCTACGACCCGTGTGTGATGCTGAACGCTTCTGTTGGCGGAGTCCAGCTGCTGGGCAGCACCTGATCGCAGGGCTGTCTGCTCCCTGCACGTAGGGCATCAGCTCAGTTTTTTATCTGCCGGACTCTTTCCAGTTTGTGTCTATGCGGGTGATTCCTACTGAGAATTTTCTTGTTTACTAGCTGGCCCAGTCAAATCTATCAATGCAAAAGGCCTTTTTTTTTTTTTGTTACTTGTTTCTATTCTGCCTGCCATTCCTAATGATCAACAATACGTACAATTTCTGTACTCTTTTTCTGGTATAGTCTGCTGTAAGAGACAGCCTCCACCTAATTCTTGAATGGCCTGATATTTATAAGCAGTGTTCTCAGAAGGGACGCACTGCGTCTTACCCTGAAAGCAGTATCTCTGAATTTTATCTCCTTTGCTTTCTGCTTTATAATCTAAATTGTCTGTTGTCCAAAAGTTTGACATTTAAATTGTATGCTGCCCAATGATAAATTTATCTGGTTCTTGACAAATCTGCAGAAGGAATGACTAACGCATTTACTTTGCATTTATTTGAAAGCACCTAACTTCTGCTGCATTTATTGCATGCCTTTGTAGTGTTCAGGACAATCTCTGCTTCCCAGACCTTAAACCATCTGTTAAATTCCCTTTTCTCTCAGGTTGCGTGATCTGCTGGTTACAGCAATGAGATACAAGAATCAGGACTGCTATTTCTATGTTCTAGCTTCTCTCCCCTCCAGCTTGCTGGCTGATGCTGGTCAAGTCACTTTACAGCTAAGTCTTAGTCTCCCTTTCTGTAAAGCATATGTACATACTTCCCTCATTATTAAGTACTCTGTGGCTCCCAACTTGTGATGCAAAGTATCTACCCTGCAAATATCTCTCTTGTTCTGCTTACACAAGGTGTGGATAAAGGAGGTACGGTACTATTTTCCAATAGCCTCGTCAACCTTATTAAACGCTTTCATTTTTTATTTTCCTTCCTTGTTTCTAGCTTTGTAGCAATTGCTGAGAATGTGTGCTCTGTGGGAGGCCTGTGGTGATTTGCTGCACCTTTCCTAGCTGTTCCTGCCCTCTGAACTCTTATGTTGTATCTTTTGTTTTGCAGGATTTGTTCTTCTCCCTTTCAATGGAGAGTGACTGTATAGATTAATAATGAGGACCAGCCCTCGCAGGCCCTTAATTCTCAAAAGACGGAAACTGACCCTCTCACAGAAGGATGCATCCAGTACTTCAGCAAGAGATGAGAACAATGGTCAGGATGAAAAGACTCCTAAGCAGGAGCACAGCCAGGAGGACCAACACAACAGCCAACCCAGAGACAAAATGGACTGTGGCCTGCAGAAATTCCCAGCAGGAATAAAGATAATTGACCATCCTACCATGCCCAACACACAAGTGGTGGCCATCCCTACAAATGCTGATATTCAGAGCATCATAGAGGCACTGACAGCAAAAGGAAAAGAATGTGGCAACAATGGGCCCAACAAGTTCATTCTCATTAGCAGTGGGGGCACGTCCCGTTCAGCAGGTCCAACACCATCTCAGCATCTCCTGCCAGAGAAGAAACCCAGTGCAGCAACCAAGGCTGCAGACGGTCAAGAAAGAGACAAGAATGTTACACAGGCACCTGGTCTTGCAGGAGGGACAATGCTCTGGCATTCAGGAATTGACTCTGTGGTTGGACAGGAACAGGAGAACAACAGTATGTAATCTTTACCCTTTTTTTTTTTTGTCCTGACAGATAGACAAAGAGATGTGAAGTGGGCCAATGAGTGTAGTGCTTGGATCTCAGTATGCAGTAATGAAAACTATTTTGTTAATTACAAAATAGCTGTGGATTTGATTCTAATAATCTACATAGCTATGCATATGTAGTGAAATCTGAAGGATCTTAGTGGATATATTTTTGGTAGAAGAGATGGCATATAAAGGTGTATAGCAAAGCAAAATTTTAGTGCTGGGGAAAAAAGAAGGGCTGGCTTGAGGAAATCAAGTCTAGAAGAACAAAAGACTAAGTTTCATTTAGCAAAAGCGTTATGAATTAAAGACTAACATAGCGTACCTTAGTCAGTGACAAAACATACGGGCCTAGAGCTTTGAAAAAGAGATGATTCCCAGCCTTTTAATAACTAAGTGGCAGGTCTGTTTCCTCCTTGGCTGTCTCATGAAGCTGCTGAATAAATGTTAGAAGTGGGATGGATTTTACTTTGAAACACTGCTCAGATCAAATTTGTATTTGCAACTTAAAATAGCTATGTAGTTTTTGGGCTGTAGTAAATCTTATCCCACAGTATAGTACTGTCTGACAGGAACCCATCAACAGCTGCAACAGCTGCATTGCTACAACCAACCTCACCAGAAATAACAAAACTATTTTAGTTTTCATTGCTGCAGTTCAAAAACCTGGAGACATCTGAGCTTCTAACTTGGGTTTTGTGCTAGGTCGTACAGTTGGAGTTTGTCACCACCTTCCTTGGCCTCTGCTTACTAGATTCATCCTTTAGCTAAAAATACTTGAATTCTTGAAGTACTGGATCAACATTGTCCTGTTTTGGTTGAGAGCAATTGGTTTGAATGTTTGTTTTTAAGGCTGCAGCTTTTTTCAGAAATTAGGCAGATTCACATGAAATCAGGAATCCAATGTTGACTTCCTTCCACAAGAAACATTAGCATTGCAATACCATCCTGTCCCTATCTTGAGACAGGGATACCTCTTTTAGAAGTGTGACTAGTGCCTTCCTTTTGGCACTTGAGACAAAGGGGAAAGAAGGTTACTTGTGAGTAAGCAGAGCTATGGGCTTGTTATCCCAACAGGCAGTGGCGAGACAATGAGCTCTGTGTTGGACAATAGTCTCACTAACATCCAGTGGCTGGGGAAGATGAGATCTGATGGGCTAAGTCCCTGTTCTGTGAAGCAAGACATGGAGAAAGAGAACCAGATGCCTCTGCGGGAAAAAATCAAGGTAAGTAGGAGAAGACAACAGAGCATATGTGCTAAAACTTTTGATAGAGAAGTAATCCATGTGGATCAGAAGACTTGCGGGAACTAGGCATCACCATCTCTAAGTAACCCGAGTTTGGCCTTTACTGATTTGAATAGCAGAACCTGGAGGATCCAGGGATGTTCCATGGCCCTTCTTGTCAACTTTGTGAGCGCTCATGTATCTTTCCCTCTGTCTCTCAGACTGAAGAAGATTCTGCTGCTGCTGCTATTCCTACCATCGCCACCTCCTCCTCATGGCAGGATTCAGTATCAGAACGACCTCCTTACTCCTACATGGCCATGATCCAGTTTGCCATCAACAGCACTGAGAAGAAGCGTATGACTCTGAAGGACATCTATACCTGGATTGAGGATCATTTCCCATATTTTAAACACGTGGCTAAGCCAGGTTGGAAGGTAACAAGCAGGCCCTCAAGTTGCCGTGTGCCACAGGCATTGGCATAATTATGCTTATATTAGCATAAGCCTTCTGGATGAAAATGAAAAGTTGTTCCCCAGTCTGCAAAGCAAGATGGAAATTAATTTAAATACCCCACCCCAAATACCCTCTCGTTCCAGATGTTCCCTGTTCCACTTCTTGTATCCCCTTTCTCATTCCACTTAGGCAAGATGATGGGATGTTTGATCGCTGGAGTAAGAGCAGGAATCTTAAGAGTAAATAGAGTAAGAGACTGATGACAGGGTTGGCTGGGTATGCAGTGAATATGAAGGTCCATGTTGTCTACACTTTAGAATGTAATCCCTCTGCCAGGGCAGTCATGTCTCAGGTAGGCCCTGCTGTGCTGATAATAAACTACTGCTTTTCAACCTCGGTCTCACTCCTTTCTCTCCAGAACTCCATCCGGCACAACCTGTCCCTTCATGATATGTTTGTCCGTGAGACATCTGCTAATGGTAAAATCTCGTTCTGGACTATTCACCCTGATGCAAACCGTTGCCTGACATTGGACCAGGTATTTAAGGTGAGTGCCTCATGCAGAGAAAATGGGACAGGCTATCCAGTTCCTAAATGCCACACTAGCCAGATGCACCTTATTTTAACAGGAAAGTTAAGCTGGTTTGACATCAGCCTTTTTGTAGAAGCTGGATTCAGTCACTTCTCTTGACAAACAGGCAAGCTCTGTATTTGAAAGAAAAGGTGCTGTGGCTGTGCATATGAACTGGGGCTTCTGTGGGATGCATTTATTCTTCAGGTGGTGTGCCAAATGTAATAGTGAGCTTGTTCAACCTCTTTCCACGGGCCTGATTCAAATTCCTAGTGAGAATCTTTCCACTGAAGTCGACCAGAAGTTCCTGTGCTGTTTGATTAGACAGTCATAGGATGGAATTGCCCTATCCCAGCTAGGTATTTTAGGAAGTACCATTTTGTGGGAAAAAACAGAGCTTGTGAGTCTGGTATAGGTGTGTTTAGACTCTTCTGTGTTTTCTGCAGTGGGTGGGCAGATTGACTCTTGTTTGCTCAGATTATACAAGGTTAAAATGTCCCATTTGTTCCCCCTTTGGTTGATAACTTCATCTTATTTTTCTCCCTCTCAATGCCTTGCTGCCACCAGCCGCTGGACTTGGGGTCACCAACATCGCCTGAGCACTCTGAATCAGTAAGACTTACCCTCTGGCTCGGGGCTTGGGCTTGCATTCTCCTCTTGCCAGTCACTGAAAGAAAGAACAAGAGGCTCGGGGAGGGGGACTGGGTCACTGCTGCACCTAGTCGTACAGCTCCATGCACACCCTTTTGACATCAGCCTTTTTGTAGAAGCTGGATTCAGTCACTTCTCTTGACAAACAGACAAGCTCTGTATTTGAAAGAAAAGGTGTATTTGAAAGAAAAGCCAAAGGTTAATTGCCTTCAGATGATATGATCTCTTTACAGCTGATAGAGCTGTACAGCTTTGAGCAACTAGAAGTCTGCTGCTGAAGTAGGCTGCAATGGGCACCAACAGGCTTCAGAGAACAAGCCCAGACAGAGATTTCTGGTAAAATCCTCATCTCCATGGCAGCAGTCCCAATCTGTTCTGGGGCTCAGATCCAGAGAGAATAGGATCTCTGTGCTCCTTTTTCATTTTGGAACCCAGCTGCATTGTGACTCTCCAAAGGATGAACCTGTTTGCTATATCTCTCTTGCATTCAGCAGTTTTAACAACAACAGATTTGCAAGCAGCCAGTCAAACACTTTTTTGTCACTGCTACAGCCCTGGCCTTCTTTCCATCTGCTTAGACTTCTGATTCCTCTGTTGCCTCTGGTATTCCACTTGAACATCTATCTGGTCTATGGTTTGTATAGAGATCCAATATACAATAAAGCTACCCTATTCACCTTTCCTCAGGCACTGAGAACACCAAAACCAGGTCACTTCTGCAGTAGGGTCTGCAGCCGGAGCAGCTCTGTCATGCTATCTCTTTTTCTACACAGCTTTTGGTTAGCAGCTGGCTTTGAGATGGCATGGCTGCAAAACAGCAAGTGGCACAGAGATAGAGCCAGCATGAGTGCTGGGTGCTAACAGCTGCTCTCTCTGTATTAGCGCAGCACAGGCTTCTGGATTCGCAGTTCTGAATGAGGCAGCAGAATAAAGATGGATTCTTCTCTTTAATGCTCTTTCTTTTCTCCTTCTCTTTCTTATTTGACAATGACTGCAGCAGCAAAAGCGACATCTTCCTGATCCCCAGAAGAACATGGGAAGCAACAGCAGCAGCAAAACTGAACCCCAGAATGCACGTGAGTGTCTACATCCTCCTAGGCCAAAGAGAATCAGCTCCATAAATCTGGGGCAGTCTCCCAGATTCCCTTAGGAATAAAAGTGGAAATTGTTATCCAGGTTTGCCAGCTTTTAGGCTTCCTACTGTCATGTTTGGAGCTGATGGGAGTATTGCTGTGTCTGAGAGAGGAGGTGATGGGGAGATGGAGGGGATTGGGTACTCAAATGGAGTGAGAGCAGAGCTTGCCCCAACTTGAGGGCTAGGATCTGTATGAAGGACTATTTCCTTGTTCATCAGGCCTGCTGGCTTGGGATTTGTATCCTCAAAATTAGCAGAGAAGGCAGGTGAGCCTACCTCTGATCGGATGTTTATTTTGGGGTATTTAGAAGGACTTCCTGTTAGGTGCCTGGGTTTCAAGAGGTAGTAGAGGAAGGGCAAGAGGCTAGCGAGTCCATTCTTTTCCCTTCCAGGCCGAAAGATGAAGCCTTTGCTTCCTCGCATCAACTCCTACCTGGTTCCGATCCAGTTTCCTTTGAGTCAGCCTCTTGTCTTGCAGCCTTCTATGAAGGTTCCTCTCTCCATGGCACAGGGAGCATCCCTCAACAGCTCAGAGACTTTCCGGAGCAATAAGCGTGTGCGCATTGCTCCAAAGGTTGGTTTCTTGTTTCTTGTTTTCTGAGGGTTTTTTTGTTTGGTTCTTTTTGCCGGGGGTGGGGTGGTTTGTGGGTTTTTTTTTCTTTTTTCTTTTCTTTTGCTCTTGTCTTCTATGGACCCTGTTCTTCATATGGTTCCTTTGTGCATCTTTACTACGTGCTCTGAAACTCTAAGCTCATATTAAGGAACTAGCCGGTGACAATCCTTGCTGTCCTTTTCTGTCTCTAGGGTGACTGTTACCTGCTAGTTGACTTGCTATAAGGATATTACTATAATTCACTAGAGGAGGGGGCTCTGTGGATTGGTCAAGACAATTTTTCTCTACTGCTTGGATGTGAAGAAATAAGAATGGGAGAAATGGCTTTGTCCTGCCCCTAAAACATTCAGACTTTTGATAGCTTTGAATAGACATGTAACATAGGGAACTTCCTCTGAAAGAGCATTTATTTGCATGTAGTCTCTTCCCAGAGGTTTTCAGTACCTGCTGTTTGCTAAGTACCTGCTGTTTGCTAATTCTGTGGAGTTCCCAGTTATTCTGGGCTCAAGCAAAACAGCTATTAAACTGGTCTTTCTCTTGGCATCTCACTGACTGCTCTTGGATGCTTAGACATTGTAAAGCTTTAACTTCTTCCATTCTGTCTAACCATAATCCTGTTTTCCTTTGTGTACCTGCTGCTTTATGTTCTCTCCTGCTATGATTTATCTTTTCCCTGTGCGCTTTTTCTTTTGATAACCTTAATTTTTTTTTTCTTTTTCCTTGGTTTCTGGGAAAGCTGTCCTCATTCATTTTGTTATTTCACATGTAGATAGTGTAAGGATGAATCAAAGAGGCTACACTTTTCCAGAAATATTCAGCTCTTCTGCCTGTACTCCTAGAAGTTCCTCATAGCAGAAGTGCTCTGAAGGGCATGACTTCCAGTCACTTAGCTAAAATCCTTCCCATGTGATCTGTAGGTGTCTCTGTATCAACTTCACACAGAGATCAATCTCTATCTGTTGTTATAGTTACTGCTTTCTGAAGATCCTCCTCTTACCTGTTCTGCTGTCCTTAAGTGCCAGTCTTTCTTTTCTTCCTTCCACTATCATTTGGATGTTGGGTGGGTTAGATCCTTGCTTACTGACTGCATATCACTTGTGTTTCTTTGTAGATGTCATTCTCTACAGAAGAGTCATCCTCTTTACCCATGGCTGCTGTCAAGGAGGAGAGTCAATGTGATGAAGGTTTATTTTCCCCAACTCATTCCCTAAAGGAGAGTAGCTCCCAGCCTGCTGACGAATCAGCTTCTTTCCCTGAGAGCGTCTGTATAAAGGAGGAAGAAGGCTCTCAACTGGACGACTGGCTGTCCCCATTTGCCTCAACCCTAACGGTAAAGGAAGAGCCAGGGTTGTTCCTCCCAGTCTCATCCACAAAGGAGAAGAAACAATTCACCATACTGAAGTCACCATCTAAGGGTGTTTCTGACACGTTAGTTATAAAGAGGCGGGAAAGGCAGGAAATGGGCAGATCCAGAAGGAAACAACGCCTAGCGCTGCCTTGCTCAGAAGAGCCTGTCCTTGTTTTGCCAGAAAGCAATGGCTTTGACCCTTTCCGGTTAGGGGCAGACCCCCCCTTCCTGCAGGAAAACCAGCCTCTTGAGAATGTATCACAGCTCAGCTGCTCGCAGGGGGAAGAGGGGCCCTTTAAAACACCAGTCAAGGAGATGTTCAACAAATTGCCAGTTTCCTCCACTCCCAGCAAAGTCTCAGCAACTACTACCCCCCCGCTAGGGGGCCTTGACCCCTGGAAGTCTGCATCCTTAGCCAAGGGAAGTCACGAGCTGGACTTCAGTCCAGTGAGAACCCTTCAGCTGCCATTCACACCCCTCCAGGAGAACCAGGACTTGCTGGGTTTTAACAGCACACCCCTTAAAAATCCCCTCTTTGAGTCCCCTCGGGAACTGCTCAATACAGAATCCAGTGACATGGTGCATGCCCCCCTCACAAGCTCTCCAGCTTTTATTCATGAGTCTACTAAGCAATCATCTGTTGAACTGCCAGCCTCTGGCTTTACTGAAAACCGGTCACTCATGGAGGGCCTGATCCTGGACACCATGAATGACAGTCTGAGCAAAATCCTTCTAGATATCAGCTTTCCTGGTCTTGAGGATGAAAACTTAGGAACGGACATTAGTTGGTCTCAGCTCATACCTGAACTGAAGTAAACTGGCCTGAGGGCTGAATTTGGCTTGTTCTGGTATTACAGAAAGCACTCGACTTTTCTGAGATCTGTTCACATAGTCTAAGACAGACTGCTTTTGACTAATTCCCACATCCATGGGAACAGAGGGCATTATTGACTCCTGCTAAGCTGGGAGACAGGCCCATTGGCTGCTATGAGCTCCCTTTATAAGCTGCAATAGACTATTTATTTGGAACAAGACAGAACCTCTCTAACCTTGTACTAGAGATGGGAGTCCCTGGAGAGAGGTTATTGAGAGAACATCTAGGTAGGCCCTGAATGGCATTTGCTATTCAAGGTATCGGAGGAAATTGATGCACTCCTCAGTTATGTACAATAGGAAAGAGCCTGGGAACCTTCTCCTAGCTCTGTCCTTACTTTCCTTTACTTTGTTCTCCTCTTATTTAGTATCTTCTGTATAGTTTTAATGGCTGTAAATACTGTACATTCCTTAAATTAGCCCTTAATTATAATAATAATTTTATTCTTGTAGGGTTATGGGAATATTTGGGCTGGTAAGGGGGTTGACTTAGAGTGTTGTCCATATGTTCCACATCTCCTGTATTCTTCTACCCTAGATGAGAGCCCAAAATACTTTTTTTTTTTCTTTGACTTCAGAAACATTGGTCTAGGCTGTTCTAAAGGTTGCTGGAGCAAAGATCTGAAAAATCACCTATATGTGACTCAAGTCAAACTGAAACAGGTTATCTGGATTGCAGCATAAAATCTTAGTTTGGCTTCCTTTTCCCAGGCTGAATGGAGAAGAGCTTGGATCAAGCTGTACAGCTCTTCTGGTTCCAGAGTCCTATTATTATGTACTTAGAGGACTAGGTAGAGTCACTGTTGCAGTAAGATGGACTTCTGTTGAATGGTTAAAGCTGCCCTCATTACAATCATCAGTTGAAAATGTAAAAAAAGAACCTATAAAGCAAATGCTGATATTTCCACTGAAAAGTGACCTCTGGAAACACAAGGTATGTTTCTCTTGGTGCAATATGACAACTCATCCCAATTCTGTAGAACTTACGTCAAAAGAGGAAATTGCCATGGAGAAGACCTGATCCTTCTGCTTACAGACAAATGATGGCTCGTGTATCTACATACTCAATAAAGCTTCTGTGGGAACACAGCTGAGTATTGTTTTTACTGCTTTCACTCCTAGCAGCGTGCTCAGGCTGGGCCATAGCACGAACAACTGATTTTTTTGCTTGTCGAATGTGTGTATCTTCTGTGATCACTAAGTGATCATTAGGACGTTTTCACTGTTCCTCAGGCCATGTTGGCCATACCACATTAGATTTGGTTGCTCAACCCCTTGCTTCCTATAATATACTTTTTCCTGCTGTTTGTGGGTAAATCCTGACTTTACAAGTCAGAAACATACTTAGTCTAAGACGTCAGAACACCATCAGCAGACTAGTTTCTGTATTTTGTAAATGCAAAACAAGCCTCACTCAAAAATCTGTATTTCTACCTTCCCCTATAAACACAAACCAGATTTAGATGTGTGTGGTGTTCAGAATTGCAGTTCTCTCGTGTGCTTGTTAGAGGTTATTTGCCCTCTAAAGGTGTTCCAAGCACTTTGTGTTGATTGTTATTATTTCAGTTTTTCTGGGGAGGAATATTGGACTCCATGATCTGCGTTTCTGTCTGCCTAGCGCAAATGACTGCTCAGCTTGAGGCCAACAGTGAAAAATGTTTTACTAGGCTGCCATGTGAATTTCAGACCAGAAGATTTTTGTCAGTGATTAGAGGTTGAAGCTCCATCACTTCTGATTGAGTCTTGGGGTTTCCTTGCCTCTAAACAGGAAATAAGAAAGGACTAAGAACTGTTGGGTGCTAGTAGCCTCTTAAGAGTATTTTGTTTAGGATTGATTTGCCAATACCACCTGTGAGGGCAGGAGGTCTTGATTCCTTCTTCTCTGCACATGTCCTCTAGTAAGGAATTCATGTTCTCCAGCCTGGATAGAAATCATCATTCTCTGATCAGGAAATCATAACAGACTGCTGTGAAAACTGATCAAAGCTACACAGCACATCTGTCTTCCGGGAGGAGAGCTGACAGGAAAGCCATAAACCTCCATCTAGGCCCAGGGGGAAGAAGAGATGCAGACAGAAGGCAAGATCGCGGTCGTGAGGCTGCAGAAGAGGCCCACTTTGTGGTTTGTGGCACACTTTCTGCTAGTACATGTCACACAGCTGTCAACACTCTACCCGGGTTTCTCAAGACATCTTAACTCCCTTTCACCTCACTTCTCACTCCTGAGAGGATGCGTGCACACAACTGACATCCAAGAGCCAGCTAACTAAGGATCATGTCTCCAGCAAATTATGAAATGCTCTTGTCCTTGGGATGATGTGATGGTGTCAATTCCAGGTGGGTGATCCCTTGCTGTCCCTGTCAGCTGAGGTGCTTTGATGGCCACCTCACATTAGATTTTGAACATAGTAGTGCCAAAGACTAGTTTCCCCTCCTGCTAAGTATTCCAGTGGGAGCCCCGCTAAAGGGCAGTTATATCAAAAAAGGTGGGGGGAACAACAGAAAAAAATCCAGTTAAGCAGTCCTACCTACTGCTCCCACAGCAGATTTCCCACTGTTTTGCCCAACCTAATTCAAAGCCCCAGTTGGTGAGGATTTCATCACAACTCTCAGGAAGACTACTTTATTTCTCTCCATCTGTAAGTGTTTGCCTGATATTCTGCCTGGATCCTTTCCTTAATCTCATCCTGTTACATTCACCACTGTAAAGTTGTACAAAAAGCTATAAAGCCATCACACCAGTGTCTGAGTAACTGCAGCCAGCTTGTTGAAAACTGTAAGTCTTGGCTTCTCCTTCTGTTCTTTCCCTGCTGGTATTTACATGTCACTATTTGTGGGTATGAGTTGTTGCGGCACGTAAACTACTATGAAAACAAGTTGTTCAAGTGTGGAAGTAATGGATATTTGCATCTTTAGCAGTAAGAAGTTTCACATCTCTCTTGTCACAAAGGGAAAAGGACACTTGCTCTTAATATCCCAGGCCTAGCTCACAGAAGATCTGCAAAATTAAACATGATCAAGTGTTGGAAGGCAGATAAGCATGGCATGAGGCAGAGAAGTGGGGAGCTGCACTTCTAATCGCTCAGCAAAGCAGCTGTTTGGAGGATGTCAGATTAAATTGGCAGAGTTTGTTGCTGGAGGTCATTGCTTAGGTATCCTATATTTGAGCAACTGGACTGTTCAAGGGTGCCATTGCTCAGGAGTGAAGTGACAGACAAGTAAGACAGCTGGAACTCAAGCACTTTGTACTTTCGGGCAAGTGCTAGAGGCATATGAGAGGTCATGGTGGGAACAGTGGAAGTGGGGCTACAGGGTAGGAGTATTATGTTTTGAAAATGTTTGTCATGAACCAAAGGCTAGAACAACAAGATGATGGAGCTGCCAGGCAGAAGTAAAACATTGTGTGAGAAACAAAACAGAAGGCATTATTTTGGACCATGGGGAGCCTATAACTGAACTTGAGGTACATGGGCAGAGCAGAGAGTTGATTGAGCAGGACAGAAATTCTTCTGCAGTCAGGTTGGATGTGTAGTAGAGAACTTCTTGAGCACAAGCCCATCATCCTCTCTGTTATGCAAAAGCATACATTCAGTGGTCAGAGCTGAGCACTGGTATCGCTGTCAGCCTCTGTTCTGTATCATCTTTGGACAGATACAGCCTCCAAACAGCAAGAACCAGCCTGCAATCACCCTGTGTTCAGCTCAACGCAGTTGAACTTGCACTGCAGGACTGCTGGGCCTGGTCTTGCCGCAGTCCTCATCCCCCATTATCAGAAGACAGCACTGAGACTTACTTTGAGGAAGAACAGTTGCCTTCTGTCCGGAGCTTGGTGAAAAAATACCAGAAGACCACACCAGCCACAGACCAGAAGACAATAGGGCACTGCAATAAGGCACAGCAACAGCAGCCTGTATAGGAGTAGAGCATACATTGAAGTTTAGGGAGTTTGGGGCACTGTATACAGGGGACTTAGACAGGTGGAAGCATATAGGTAATTGCGTCATGGGATAGAAAGCGCCTCCCCCCAGCCTTTGGCACAGACAGAACAGGTAACACAGCAGCATCGCCCAAGAAGAAAGATTATTGATAACATCCCCCCAGAAAAGACATGCTCCTGTTATGCCTCGGCTTTAAAACAGCACAGCTCTTGGGCAACACTACAACAGCAGCAGCATTTCCATAGGAAAAAGCCATGCTTTTTGGCAGTGTCTCCCTCTGCAACCCTTTTTAGTGAGTAACTGTACATTTTGAAATCAGAGGTTCTCTGGAAATTGTACAGGACCACCTACCCCCCTTTTCCTGCTTGTGAGCAGGCGGAGGTGCAGTGCTTACAACCAGCCCCAACCAAAAGAATTCCGATGTCCTCCCTGCAGTAGCTCCACCACATACCTCTATCCTTACTGCTGATCTGGGGTGCTCACTTGAAGCTTTAGTCTGGCTTGGGAATAAGATGGGAGATATCAAGTCACACTTGCTCAGCAAGTGACAGCAATGAAGCAGTTTGACAGTGTTGTCAAAAAGAGTGTCTCTCAAAAGAGATCTATGGTTGGAACCAGGTAAAAGGCTTGGCTGCCACATGACAGTAATAGCAGGAGGGAAAAAGAAGTATTTTGTAAGGAAGAATGGGGAACATGGTTAAGGCTTTGTGAATAAAGATCTTACTTCAGGCATTTGGGATAGGGTGTCAGGGCAGCAGCAGGTTGGCAATTCACAGGAAACAGGAGGTCTGTGTAGCATAGGGAGTTGTAACCGGGCAAAGAATTGAAGAGTTGTATGTTCAAGAGTAGAGCAATGAAGTAGGCTCAGAACAGAGATGTATACAGAGGGAGAAAAGAGGCCAGAAGGCAGGTATCACGGGCCCCTCTGCAGGCTCAGTATTTGGATTATAGTGTAGAGGTTTGACCTTGTAAGATGGTGAATGCCTCTGTCCATCCTCCTTCAGT